TGTTGAATTTGGTTGGCAGGTAAATACCTTGTTGAGGATTTTTTGCATCTGTGTTCATCAGGGATATTGGCCTGTAGTTTTCTTTCTTTCCTTCCTTCCTTCCTTTCTTTCTTTCTTTCTTTCTTTCTTTCTTTCTTTCTTTCTTTCATTCTTTCTTTCTTTCTTTCTTTTTTTGAGACAGGTCTTGCTCTGTTGCCCAGGCTGGAGTGCAGTGGTGGTATGGTCTTGGCTCACTGCACCCTCCACCTCCTGGGTTCCAGTGATTCTCCTGCCTAAGCCTCCTGAATAGCTGGGACTACAGGCGCATGCCACCACAACCAGTTAATTTTTTAATTTTTTTAGTAGAGGTGGGTTTTCACCATGTTTGCCAGACTGGTCTCGAATTCCTGACCTCAAGTGATTTGCCTGCTTCAGCGTCCCAAAGTATTGGGATTACTGGCTTAAGCCACCACACCTGGCCTGGCCTGTGGTTTTCTTTTCCAGTGTTGTTTTTGCCAGGATATGATATCAGGGTGATGTTGGCTAATAAATTGTGTTTTGAAGTGTTCTCGCTTGTGTTTTTTAGGAGAGTTTAAGAAATATTAGTATTTATTAATACTAATATTATTTGTATTTATTAATACTAATATTAGTATTTATTAATACTAATATTCTTTGAATGTTTGATAGAATTCATCCATGAAGCCATTGATCCTGGGATTTTCTTGCTGGAAGGTTTCTGATTACTAGATTCAATATTCCTATTTGTTGTGAGTCTGTTAAAGCTTTCTATTTCTTTGTTATTCAGTTTTAATGTGTTATATGTTTCTAGGAATTTATCCATTTCCTCTAGATTAACTTATTTGTTAGCATATAAATGTTCATAATTGTCCCTTATGGTTCTGTTTCTGTGACATCAGTTGTAATGTCTCATCTTTCATTTACATTTTATTTATATGCATGTTCTCTCTTTTTTTTCTTAGTCTAGCTAAGGACTTGCCAATTTTGCTTATTTTTTCAAAAAAATCAACTCCTAGTTTTGTTAATTTTTTCCAACTGTTTTTCTATTCTCTTTTTTATTTATTTCTGCTCTAACATTTATTATTTCCTTTGTTCTTCTACCTTTGGGCTTAGTTATTTTTTCTTCTCATTCTTCTTTTTGTAGTTCCTGGAGGTGATAAGTTCAGTTGCTTATTTCATAACTTTCTTCTTTTTAAATATAGGCATTTATTGCTATAAATTTCCCTATTAGTAGGCTTTTACTGTATCCTTTAAGTTTTGGTATGTTTTCATAATATGAAAACATATCAAGATTTCAATTTTTTCTGTGACCCAATGGTCATTCAAGAATGTGTTGTTTAGTTTACACATATTTGCGAATTTTCATGTTTTTTTTTTTTTTTTTGAGACGGAGTTTCGCTCTTGTTACCCAGGCTGGAGTGCAATGGCACAATCTCGGCTCACCGCAATTCTCCTGCCTCAGCCTCCTGAGTAGCTGGGACTACAGGCACGCACAACCGTGACCAGCTAATTTTTTGTATTTTTAGTAAAGACAGGGTTTCACCATGTTGACCAGGATGGTCTTGATCTCTTGACCTCGTGATCCACCCACCCCGGCCTCCCAAAGTGCTGGGATTACAGGTGTGAGCCACTGCGTCCGGCTGAATTTTCATGTTTTCTTATTGTTATTGATTTGTAGTTTGAATCCATTGTGGTCAGAAAACATACTTGGTATGATTTTAATCTTCTTGAATTTGTTATGACTTGTTTTGTGACCTGAAAGGTGATCTGTCTTGAAGAATGTTCTGTGTGTGCATGATAAGCCTGCTGTTGGGTGGAAGGTTCTATATGTACATTTTAGGTCCGTTGGGTCTATTTCATTCTTCAGTTCTACTGTATCCTTATTGATTTTCTATTGGATGATCTACTCATTATAGAGAGTGGAGCATTGAAGCCCACTATATTGTATTCTGATTGATTTATTCTTCCACACCTGTCAATGTTTGCTTTATATATTTAGTTACTTTCATGTCGGGTACATATATATTTATAATTGTTACATCTTACTGTTCAAGTGATCCTTTTATTATATAGTGACCTTCTATGTCTCGTGTCACAGTTTTTCACTTAAAGACAATGTTTTTCATACAAGTAGAGCCACCCCTGCTCTCTTTTGGTTGCAGTTTATACGGCATAACTTTCTCCACTCCTTCACTTTCGGCCTATGTGTGTTCTTAAATCAAAAGCGAGTCTGTTATCAATGAAGTATAGTTGGGTCTTGTTTGTTTTTGTTCCTTACTTCCCATCTCTGAATTGTCGGCTTTTTAAAAACCCCAATTCTGTTTCTGTTTGTCCTTTGATTGAGGAGCCCATTTACACTTGAAGTAATTATTTATATGTAAGGACTTTCAATTGCCATTCTGTTAATAGTTTAGTGTTTTGTAGTTTTCATGTTCCTTTCTTCTTTTTCTCTTTGTGGTTTGATGATTTTTGCTTGGATGTGTTTTGATTCTTTTCTCGTTATCTTTTGTATATCTACTATACGTATGTGTGTGTGTGTGTGTGTGTGTGTTTACCACAGAGATCAACTTGAACATTTTATAGTTATGGCAGTCTGTTTTAAGCTGACAACACCTTCAGTCACATACAGAAACTCTATACTTTACTTACTTCCTGCACCACAACTTTATGTAATTGAGGTCACATTTTGCTTCCTTCTATATATTGTTTCCATTGACAAATTTCTGTCATTATAATTACTATTACTATTTTGTCTTTTAATTTATAAATTAATATTAATAGTTATCTATAACAATCATTATACTGTTATAATATTGTAGTTTCTCTTTATATTTACCTTTAGTAGTGAAAGGATTCATATGCTTTTGGGTTATTGTTTAGTGTCTTTATTTCAACTTGAACTATTAGCACTTCTTATAAGGCAGGTCTTGTGGTGACAAACCCCCCTCAGTGTCTGTTTGTCTGAGAAACTCTTTATCTTTGTCTTAATTCTTAAAGGACAGTTTTTCCAGATAAAGTATTATTGATCAGATTTTTTTCTCTGAGTGCTTTGAATATATCATCCCACTCTTTCCTGACCTTCAAGGTTTCTGCTGAGATATCCACTCATTGTCTTATGGAGCTCCTCTATGGGTGATAATTCACTTTCTTCTTACTACCCCAAAATTATCTTTTGTCTTTGTTGATAATTTAATTATAATCTATTTCACTGTAGACTTCTGTGGGTTTAATCTATTTGGCTATCTTTGGGCTTAGTGAATCCAGATGGTACTTACCCTCCCTAGGTTTGGGGAATTCTCACCTATTATTTCTTTAAATAAGCTTCCTTTCTCTCTCTCTCTTCTACTTTTAAGATTTCCTATAATGCATCTATCATTTTGCTTGATGATATCCCACAAGTCCCATATTCTTTCTTCACTCTTTCTCATTGTTCTTTTTATTCCTCCAACTAGATAATTTCAAATGACCTATCTTCAAGTTTACAAATTCTTTCTTCTGCATGATTGAGTCTGCTATTGAAGATCTCTATTAAAATTTTTAGTTCAGTCATTCTTCAGTTATATTCAGCAGTATTTTTCAGCTGCAGGATTTTTATTTGTTTTTTCAATTGTTTTTATTTCTTTATTAAACTTGTAGTTTCATTCACGTATTGTTTTCCTCATTTTGTTAGTTGTCTACCTATCCTCTTGTAACTCACTGACCTTCTTAAAATGATCATTTTGAATTCTTTTCAAAAATTTCATGAATCTTTATTTCTTCAGGGTTGGTTACTGGAGCTTTATTAGTTCCCTTTGGTGATGTCATATTTGCCTGATTCTTCATGACCCATGTAGCCTTGCATTGGTATCTGTACATTTGAATGAGCTGACACCTCTTCTGGTCTGAAGTTGAGTACTCAGACAGTGAGTTCATTACCAGCTCTCATTGGGTCCTTGAGTGGTCAGGACTGCCTGCAGACCATGATAAAGTGGGCCTGGAGCTTGGTCAAAGGGCTACTTCAGGGTCCCCAGTTGTGCCCATAGCCAGTGGGCCTGTTATGGGGGCACAGATAAGTGTGGGTTCTACTGAGTCCCTTTACAAGAAGACTATCTCCAGAACATGGTACAGCAAGACTAGAGTTGGCTTACAGGGCTACTTTGGAGTCCACAGTCAGGTCCAGTTGGTGGGCTGGTTTCCAGTGGTGGAATGGCATGACTCCTACCAGTTTTCTGAGTAGGCAGAACTTCACCAAGACCATGGTAGTGTGGGACTGAAGCTTAATTACAGGGCTGCCTAAGAGTCCACAGTTGGGAGGCCTGTTACTGTGGTTGCCAATGGGAGTTGCTCCTCCCAGATCCCTGGGCGCATAGGGCTAGTGGTAGGACCACATACAAACAGGTCTGGAGCTAAGTTTCCAGGGTGGTGGGCTGCTTCTGGGTCCACAGCCAGAACTATAGTTGACAGGCTTGCCACTAGAATGTGGGCTTGCCTTATTAAAGCATTCATCTTTATTCTTGAGCTCTACTGGGGTTTCTGAACCTCCTACCAGGATCCCGTGCCTCCCACAAAGGCACTTTTGTCCATAGATAGTTGCCAAAATTATTGTTCCTGTAAGGGAACAGGAGGTGCGGACCTCCTATCCCATCAACTCACTGATGTCATTCTCCTGATACTGCATTTTTGGATTGCCCTCAGATGATTCTGCTACTCCTGGTCTGTGGACCATCCTGGAGTAGCAAAGCCCAAATGGCTTCCTCAACTTTTATGAGCCTTTTACATGAACTCAAAGTACAAAATGATTTCACTTGCCCCAGACCTAATAATTTCCCTTGTTCCCACTCCTTGGTGCGTTCCTTTTTTGTGTCTACCATCATAACATCCATCTAACCATAATTGTCTTATAGATGTTGAATGCTGTTGAGAAATGCACAAAGCAAAATTAGAAGGAAGATGTGATTGACAGAAATTGCTTTTCACTCTGGATTCACTTTCCGTGTATTTGTGATAATCTCTCCATACAGGTCTTCTTTGGCAATGTGGATTCATCTGGGATAAAACACAATATTTTTAACCCTCCAATTATTGCTCGGTACATCCGTTTGCACCCAACTCATTATAGCATTCGCAGCACTCTTCGCATGGAATTGATGGGCTGTGATTTAAACAGTAAGTGCCAAGTCATCTTATATCCTTCCTCCCTCGACCATGGGTAGGGTAACTAACTGTTCTGGTTATCCTGAGACTAGAGGAGGGGTTCTTAGTACCAGGACACAAAAATTGTCTGTGCTAAAATCAGCATAGTCTTGGGCAAACCCAGAAACACCATTTAGCCCAGCAATCCCATCACTGGGTATATACTCAAAGGAATATAAATAATTCTATCATAAAGATACATGCACACATATGTTCATTTCAGCACTATTCACAATAGCAAATACATGGAATCAACCTAAATGCCCATCAACAACAGATTGGATAAAGAGAATGTGGTGCCAGGCATGGTGTCTCACGTCTATAATCCCAGCACTTTGGAAGGCTGAGGTGGGCAGATCACAAGGTCAGGAGTTCAGGACCAGCTTGTCCAACATGGTGAAACCCCATCTCTACTAAAAATACAAAATTAGCTGGGTGTGGTGGTGCATGCTTGTAATCCCAGCTACTCAGGAGGCTAAGGCATGAGAATCACTTGAACACAGGAGGCAGAGGCTGTGGTGAGCTGAGATCATGCCATTGCACTCCAGCCCAGGCACCAAGAGCAAAAATCTGCCAAAAAAAAAAAAAAAAGAAAGAAAGGAACAGGGGGGAGGGAGCAAGGTGGCCATTTAGGAACAGCTCAGGATTGCAGCTCCCAGTGAAAGCACAAAGGGTGAATGGACGCCACATTTCCAGATGTATCTTTATTGCCCACAGACCAGGAGATTCCCATGCAGAGGAGCCCCACAGGTCACTAACATGGCTGTTTTGGCTGGGGCCCTGACACGGCGGTTCTCTGTACAAAATACACTGGTCTGGTTGCCCTTTTAAGCTGGCAATTGGAGCTCCGGGAAGGCAGATTAGCCCATTCATCTGATTAAACAGAGGTCTGAAACAGGGAGCCAGGCGAGGAGATTCCTGGGCAAAAAAAAAAGCACCACACATCTCAGTGCCATTTTTCAGCTGGCACAGTGGGTTGCCGCACAGGAAATCACACAGATCCCAGTGCCCTTTCAGCAGGTGACTTGAACACTTGGGAGAGAGTCAACTGTTCAACTTAAAAAAAAAGGGGGGGAGGCTCTGAGGCAGGAAACCAGGTGATCAGGCTTGGCAGATCCCACCCTCACAAAAAGAAAAAAAAACCCAGCAATTGGAAATGCTTGGGGTTGAGAGTTTCACAGCAAGCACAGCTGAACCCGGGACAGTCCAGCTCTGTGGGGGAAGGGCGTCCGCCATTACCCAGGCACTCCACCCCTACGGAGGTAGTTTGCCATTGCTGAGGCAGCCTGCCGTTGCCGAGGCAACCTGCTGTTGCCGAACCAACCTACCATAACAGAGACAGTCCACCATTAAGGAGGCAAGCCACCATTGCTGAGGCAGTTCTAACCACACCCATATAAACAGAACTGCAGGGAAGTTCACAGGGGAGCAGTGCCGAGCCCACAGCAGCTCAGCAAAGCCTCTGCAGGCAGTGACTAGGCTGCATCCTTGCTGGGCAGGGCAGCCCAGAAAGAAAAAGGCAACAGCACAAGGGAAACTCATAAATAAAGACCTAACTACCTGGGGCAGAGCACCTGGGGAAAAAAAGGGGGGGGGTTATGAGTTCTGCTGCAGCAGATTTAAATGTACCTGCCTAGCAGCTCTGAATGAACAATGGAGCTCACAGCTCAGCACTTGAGCTCCTGTAAAGAACAGACTGTCTCCTCAAGCAGCTCCCTGAGCCCCATATATCCAAAGACTCGCCTCACAAAGGACTGATCCGACAGACATTTAGCGGGCATCATTCTGGGACAAAAATAGCAGCAGAAGAAACTGGTAACAACCCATACTGTGCTGCAGCTGCTGGTGATCCCCAGGCAAGCAGGGCCTGGAGCAGAGCTCAGCAGTCCTACAGCAGCGGGGCCAGACTGTTAGAATGAGAACTAAGAAACAGAAATAACTTCGTCAACAACAACCTGGACATCCACTCAGAGACCCAATCTGAAAATCAGCAACTACAAAGACGACAGATGGATAAATCCACAAAGATGGGAAGAAACCACCGCAAAAAGGAGGAAAACACCTGAAACCAGAACACTTCGCCTCCTCTAAGGGATCACAACTCCTCAACAGCAAGGGAACAAGGCTGGATGGAGAATGAGTGTGATGAAATGACAGAATCAGACTTCAGAAGGTGGGTAACGAGAAACTTCTGTGAGCTAAAAGAACATGTTCTAAGTCAACGCAAAGAAACTAAGAACCTTGAAAAAAGATTTGACGAAAGGATAACAAGAATGGACAACTTAGAGAGGAATATGAGTGAATTGATGGAGCTGAAAACACAACACGAGAACTTAGCGAAGCATGCACAAGTTTCAACAACCGAATTGACCAAGCAGAAGAAAGAATATCAGAGGTTGAAGATCAACTCAATGAAATGAAACAAGAAGCCAAGATTAGAAAGAAAAGCGCAAAAAGGAATGAACAAAGTCTCCAAGAAATGTGGGACTATGTGAAGAGACCTAACCTACGTTTGATAGGTGTACCTGAATGTGATGAAGAGAATGAATCCAAGCTGGAAAATACTCTTCAGGATATTATCCAGGAAAACTTCCCCAACCTAGCAAGGCAGGCCAATATTCAAGTCCAGGAAATACAGAGAACACCACAAAGATATTCCGCAAGAAGAGCAACCCCAAGGCACATAATCGTCAGATTCACCAGGGTTGAAATGAAGGAGAAAATGCTAAGGGCAGCCAGAGAGAAAGGTCTGGTTACCCACAAAGGGAAGCCCATCAGACTCATAGCAGATCTCCCCACAGAAACCCTACAAGCCAGAAGAGAGTGGGGGCCAATATTCAACATCCTTAAAGAAAAGAACTTTCAACCCAGAATTGCATATCCAGCCAAACTGAGTTTCATAAGTGAAGGAAAAATAAAATCATTTGCCAAGAAGCAAGTACTCAGAGATTTTGTCACCACCACACCTGCTTTACAAGAGCTCCTGAAAGAGGCACTACACATAGAAAGGAACAACCAGTACCAGCCACTCCAAAAACATACCAAATGGTAAAAAGCATCAATGAAATGAAGAATCTGCATCAACTAACGGGCAAAACAGCCAGCTAGCATCAAAATGGCAGTATCAAATTCACACATAACAATATTAACCCTAAATGTAAATGGGCTAAATGCACCAATCAAAGACACAGACTGGCAAATTGGATAAAAAGCCAAAACCCATCGGTGTGCTGTATCCAGGAAACCCATCTCACATGCAAGGATACACAAAGGCTCAAAATAAAGGGATGGAGGAAAATTTACCAAGAAAATGGAGAGCAAAAAAGCAGGAGTTGCAATTCTCATCTCTGATAAAATAGACTTTAAAGCAACAAAGATCAAAAGAGACAAAGAAGGACATTACATAATGGTAAAAGGATCAAAACAACAAGAAGAGCTAACGATCATAAATATATATGGACCCAATACAGGAGCACCCAGATATATAAGGCAAGTTCTTAATGACTTACAGAGACTTAGACTCCCACACAATAACAGTGGGAGACTTTAACACTCCACTGTCAATATTAGACAGATCAACCAGACAGAAAATCAACAAGGATATCCAGGGCTTGAACTCAGACCTGGACCAAGCAAACCTGATAGACATATACAGAACTCTCCATCCCAAATTCACAGAATATACATTCTTCTCAGCACCACATCACACCTACTCTAAAATTGACCACATAATTGGAAGTAAAGCACTCCTCAGCAAATGGAAAATAACAGAAATCATAACAAGCAGTCTCTCAGACCATAGTGCAATCAAGTTAGAACTCAGAATTCAGAAACTAACTCAGAACCGCACAGCTTCATGGAAACTGAACAACTGGCTCTTGAATGTTGACAGGATAAACAATGAAATGAAGGCAGAAATAAAGATGTTCTTTTAAACCAACGAGAACAAAGACACATCATACCAGAATCTCTGGGACACATTTAAAGCAGTCTCTAGAGGAAAATATATAGCAATAAGTGCCCACATGAGAAGACAGGAGAAATCCAAAATTGAAACCCTATCGTCAAAATTGAAAGAGCTAGAGGAGCAAGATAAAAAAAAAACTCAAAACCTAGCAGAAGACAAGAAATAACCAAGATCAGAGCAGAACTGAAGGAGATGGAGACACGAAAAATCCTTCAAAAAATCAATAAATCCAGGAGCTGTTTTTTCGAAAAGATCAACAAAATAGACAGACCACGAGCCAGATTAATAAAAAAGAAAAGAGAGAATAACCAAATAGATCCAATAAAAAATGAAAAAGGGGAAATCACCACAGATTCCACAGAAATTCAAACCATCATCAGAGATTATTACAAACAACTCTATGCACATAAACTAGTAAACCTGGAAAAAATGGATAAATTCCTGGACACTTGCGTCCTCCCAAGCCTAAATCAGGAAGAAGTTGAAACCCTGAATAAACCAATAACAAGATCTGAAGTTGAGGCAGCAATTAAGAGCCTACCACACAAAAAAAGCCCAGGTCCAGATGGGTTCACAGCCGAATTCTACCAGACACACAAAGAGGAACTGTTATCATTCCTTCTGAAACTATTCCAAATAATCCAAAAAGAGGGAATCCTTCCCAAATCATCTTATGAGACCAACATCATCCTGATACCAAAACCCGGCAGAGACCCAACAAGAAAAGAAAACTTCAGGCCAACATCTGTGATGAACCTAGATGCAAAAATCTTCAATAAAATACTGGCAAGCTGATTGCAACAGCACAGCAAAAAAGCTTATCCACCATGATCAACTAGGATTCATCCCAGGGATGAAAGGCTTGTTCAACATACGCAAGCCTATAAATGTAATTCACCACATAAACAAAACCAAATGCAACAACCACATGATTATCTCAACAGACGCAGAGAAGGCCTTTGACAAAATTCAACAGCCTTTATGCTAAAAACCCTCAATAAACTAGGTATTGATGGAACGTATCTGGAAATCATAAAAGCAATTTCTGACAAATCAACAGCCAATATTATACTGAATGGGCAAAAACGAACCATTCCCTTTGAAATCCGGCACTAGACAAGGATGTCCTCTCTCACCACTCCTATTCAATATAGCACTGGAAGTTCTAGCCAGAGCAGTCAGGCAAGAAAAAGAAATAAAGGGTATTCAAATAGGAAAGGAGGAAGCCAAATTGTCTGTATTTGCAGACGACATGATAGTATATCTAGAAGACCCCAACGTCTCAGCCCAAAATCTCCTGAAACTGATAAGCAACTTCAGCAAAGTCTCAGGATACAAAATCAATGTGCAAAAATCACAAGCATTCCTCTACACCAATAACAGACTTAAAGAGAGCCAAATCAAGAACGAACTGCCATTCACAATTCCTACAAAGAGAATAAAATACCTAGGAATACAACTCACAAGGAACGTAAGGGACCTCTTCAAGGAAAACTACAAACCACTGCTCAACAAAATAAGAGAGGACACAAACAGATGGAGAAACATTCCATGTTCATGGTTAGGAAGAATCAATATCGTGAAAATGGCCATACTGCCCAAAGTAATTTACAGATTCAATGCTATCCCCATCAAGCTACCAATGACCTTCACAGAACTGGAAAAAAACCACCTTAACTTCATATGGAACCAAAACAGAGCCCACAGAGCCAAGTCAATTCTAAGCAAAAAGAACACAGCAGGAGGCATCACTCTACCGGACTTCAAACTATACTACAAGTCTACAGTAATCAAAACAGCATGGTACTGGTACCAAAACAGAGACATAGACCAATGGAACCGAACAGAGGCATCGGAGGCAACACAACATATCTACAACCATGCGGTCTTTGATAAACCTGACAAAAACAAGCAATGGGGAAAGGATTCCCTGTTTAATAAATGGTGTTGGGAAAACTATCTAGCCATGTGCAGAAAGCAGAAACTGGACCCCTTCATGACACCTTACACTAAAATTAACTCCAGATGGATTAAAGACTTAAACATAAGACCTGGCACCATAAAAACCCTAGAAGAAAATCTAGGCAAAACCATTCAGGACATAGGAGTAGGCAAGGACTTCATGATCAAAACACCAAAAGCATTGGCAACAAAAGCCAAAATAGACAAATGGGACCTAATCAAACTCCACAGCTTGTGCACGACAAAAGAAACAGTCATTAGAGCAAATCGGCAACCAACAGAATGGGAAAAAATTTTTGAAGTCTACCCATCTGACAAAGGGCTGATATCCAGAATTTACAAAGAACTCAAACAGATTTACAAGGAAAAACCAAACAAGCCCATTCAAAAGTGGGCGAAGGAGATGAACAGCCACTTTACAAACGAAGATATACATGAGGTCAACAAACATGAAAAATGCTCATCATTACTGGTCATAACAGAAATGCAAATCAAAACCACATTGAGATACCATCTCACGCCATTTAGAATGGCGATCATTAAAAAATCTGGAGACAACAGATGCTGGAGAGGATGTGAAGAAATAGGAACACTTTTACACTGCTGGTGGGAGTATAAATTAGTTCAACTATTGTGGAAGACAGTGTGGCAATTCCTCAATGACCTAGAAATAGAAATTCCATTTGACCCAGCAAACCCATTACTGGGTATATATCCAAACGATTATAAATCATTCTACATGCACACGAATGTTCATTGCAGCACTATTTACAATAGCAAAGACCTGGAACCAACCCAAATGCCCATGGATGACAGACTGGACGGGAAACTGTGGCCACACTACAGCATGGAATATTATGCAGCAATCAAAAACGATGAGTTTGTGTCCTTTGTAGGGACATGGATGAACCTGGAGAACATCAGTCTCAGCAAACTGACACAAGAACAGAAATGAATTCCACATGTTCTCACTCACAGGTGGGTGCTGAACAATGAGAACACATGGACACAGGGAGGGGAGCACTACACACTGGGGTCAGTTGGGGGGAATAGGGGAGGGACAGTGGGGGGTGGGGAGTTAGGGAGAGAGAGCATGGGGAGAAATGCCAGATATAGGTGAAGGGGAGGAAGGCAGCAAAAAACACTGCCACGTGTGTACCTATGCAACTATCTTGCATGTTCTTCACATGTACCCCAAAACCTAAAATGCAATAAAAAAGAAAGAAAGAAACAAGGAAAATCAAAGAGTCACACAAAGTGGGAAGAGCTGACCAGTTATACTGAGAAGCCTCCACTGATATTCTAGGGTTACTGTCATCATAATATCATTTCTCAGGCATTAACTTTTGCACAGATTCTTTTATTGTTACCTATTTTCTGGTCAGCTCTTCTTTTCTTCTTCTAGTTTTATTTTAGGTTCTATGGGTACATGGGTAGGTTTGTTATATGGGTAAATTGCATGTCAGTGAAAATGTGATATATACATACCATGGAATATTATGCAACCATAAAAGAGAATAAGATCATGTATTTTCAGCAACATATATGCCGCTGAAGGCCATTATCCTAAGTGCAGGAAAAGAAAACCAAATATCACATGTTCTCATAAGTGGGAGGTAAACATTAAATACACATGGATGCAATGATGGAAACTCGGGAGGGGAGACGTTGGGAGTGGGATGTGGCTTGGAAGGTTACATATTGGGTACTACACTCACTACCTGGGTGAGGGGCTCATCCATACACTAAGCCTCACCAATTATGTGGTCAAGTTTAGAGTAGGTGTGATGTGGTGCTGAGAAGAATGTATATCCTGTGGATTTGGGGTGGAGAGTTCTGTAAATGTCTATCAGGTTTTCTTGTTCCAGGTCTGAGTTCAGGTCCTGGATATCCTTGTTAATTTTTTGTCTGGTTGATCTGTCTAATATTGACAGTGGAGTGTTAAAGTCTCCCACTATTATTGTGTGGGAGTCTAAGTCTCTTTGTAAGTCGTTAAGAACTTGCCTTATGTATCTGGGTGCTCCTGTATTGGGTCCATACAGGGGTATAACTGAGGCTGAAGCATGTCCCTGTGATAACCTTCCTTTTTCTTTTCTTTGAGGTTGCAGCATGCCATTGGGAATGGAGAGTAAAGCAATATCAGATGCACAGATTACTGCTTCATCCTATTTCACCAATATTTTTGCCACCTGGTCTCCTTCAAAAGCTCGACTTCACCTCCAAGGGAGGAGTAATGCCTGGAGACCTCAGGTAAGAGACAACAGATTTACTGTTTATCTGACTCAGAGCAGTGGTTGGGAAAAAATAGGGGAAACCTTTGACTATTTCTTCAGAGATATTTCTGTCAATTGTTATTCCTAAAAAGAGTGTCAAGGAGGGTTGATTGTGGGGAAACACCACCACAGGCATTTGGGATAATGATCCCTAATTGAACCTCCTGGAAGATGAATCACTTTATTTAGTACTGGGCTAATATCTGTCAAAGAATTATAGTAGAAAAGTCCATTTTGCAAATAAATATCAACAATTAGGTTTCTTTCCAGTTTTATCGTTGCATCAGTGGAAAGTAAACAGGATGAGCCTGGGGATACAAAGGTGAATTGTGAAAAATTTTGGTCTTGAAGTTGGTTAGAGTTGGATAAGGGAGACTGACTAGCCAATAGAAAGTAGAGGCTCACACCTGTAATCACAGCACTTTGGGAGACCGAGGCGGGTGGATCACGAGGTCAGGTGGATCACAAGTCTGGCCAACATAGTGAAACCCTGACTCTACTAAAAAATACAAAAAATTGGCTGGGTGTGGTGGTGTGTGCCTGTAATTGCAGCTACTCAGGAGGCTGAGCCAAGAGAATCACATAAAACCGGGGGGTGGAAGTTGCAGTGAGCTGAGATCACACCATTGCTCTCCAACCCGGGTGAGAGTGTGAGACTCTGTCTAAAAAAAAGGGTGGGGGGAGAAAGAAAGTAGAGTGAGTCCCAGTGCAGTGGCTTACACCTGTAATTCCAGCACTTTGGGATGCTAAGGCGGCAGATCACCTGAAGTCAGGAATTCAAGACCAGACTGGCCAACCTGGTGAAACCCTGTCTCTACTAAAAATACAAAAATTATGGACACCTGTAACCCCAGCTACTTGGGAGGCTGAGGCAGGAGAATCACTTGAACCTGGGAGGTAGAGGTTGCAGCGAGCCAAGATGGTGCCATTGCACTCCAGCCTGGGAGGCAGAGCGAGACTCTGTCTCAAAAAAGAAAGCAGAGTGAGAAATGCTGTGGTGTGGTTAAGCAGGGATTTGGGAATTTCTGGGAGTAAATGGTGACCAAGAGGGTACTAGTCCAACACTGTTGCACTCAGGTGAATAATCCGAAAGAGTGGCTGCAAGTGGACTTCCAGAAGACAATGAAAGTCACAGGAATAACCACTCAGGGAGTAAAATCTCTACTTACCAGCATGTATGTGAAGGAGTTCCTCATCTCTAGCAGTCAAGATGGCCACCACTGGACTCTCTTTTTGCAGAATGGCAAAGTAAAGGTATGCTGTTCTCCTTGGAAAGACAGAAAAACCTCTCCTAGAGGTTAACATAAGATAACAAGGTTGATATATGACCAACCTTTCAGGGCAAAATTTATTAACTACCTATGGTAGCAGGACATTGTAAAAGGCATTTTGAGACAACACAATGATTTCACCTGACTCATTCTTTGAGTCTCAGATAAACATCATCTCCAAGAATTCCTTTATCCCTCAAGTCTGGATTAAAGACTTCACCAAAGTGTCAGTTTGATGAACTAAAGTCTAGACACTGGATATTCTAGAAGAAATTCCCATTTAGAAAAGGTTATATCTGTGATTAGTCCCACAACATAATGAACTTTGGAAACACCCTAAGTGAGTAGGGCAGACATAAAAGGATAGATATTATATGATTCCACCTATATGACTATCTTAGTCAAGGATATCCAAAGAAACAGAACCAATAGGAGATTCTGTCTGTCTGTCTCTATCTCTCTTTCTCTCTGGATGAGCTAAAATGTTTTAGTTCAAGCCTGAAAGCAGGAAAAAGCTGATGTTCCACTCCAAGGGCAGTCCGGCAGCAAGAATACTCCTACTTGGGGAAGACTCAGCCTTTTTGTTTTATTCAGGCCGTCAACTAATTGGATGATGCCTACCCACATTAGGGATGGCAATCTGCTTTACTCAGTCTACTAACTTCAATGTTAATCTCATTCAAAAATACCCTCAGAGAAATACCCAGAATAATGTTTGAGTAAATATCTGGGCACCTTATGACCAAGTAAAGTAGATACACAGAATTAACCATTACAAATCTACCCCTTGTCAATGTAGCACCCACCAAACACATCTCCTTTATCTCTAAATAGAGACAAAAATGAGGCAATAATTCCACCTAACACGATATAACAAAACTTGGCTGGTAACTGCCTTCTTCTACTACCCATTCTGTGTTCCCTTTGCCTTCTACAAGCATCTCAGCTGATTGTGGTTCTTTACCTAATGAGGTGACCCAAATCTTGATTCCTGAAGAGCCTGGGCCACCAGTAGTCCTGCATGGATTGGGTTGCTATGGTTTCCCATTGACCAGAATCACAGGGCATGGTAATACTAAGAGACACTCTAAGGGAACTCTTGTATTCCAGACACCCTCTTCCATACCTCCATTGTGAAATAGAAGTCCATTTTCCCCTTGGTATTCAGTATCAATCCCCTATCCAGCAGAGTAACATCCTTCTTTACCTGTTGATTCAAAGGCAGGAGGAGCCTAAAGTGGCTGGCAAACCATTTTCACTTTCAGTTCAATGGAATTTTTTTGTGTGTCTCCTGGTAGAAACATTCTTCCTTCTGCAACTAAGACCTCTAGGCTAGCAGAACACATGGCCATGGGAACAGGAAACAAAAATTTTGCTAGTGCATCACTAGGGGTGATGGTGAGTGGTGCCACTCTTATTTCACCCGTTGATTTCTGGATCTGTGAATCCTGGCTGTAGGAGAAACAACATCATATATTGAATACTAATTCAGAGCATATACAGCCTCTGAAGAACTTTTTCTCCAGCCCTGCAAGGTATTGCCACCTAGTTGGCACTGCAACTGTGACTTCAAAAGGCCATTTCACTATTCTGTCAAGCCAGCTGCTTCAGGATGGTGGGAACATGGTAAGACCAATACATTCCGTGAGCATGGGCCCACTGCTGTACTTCATTTGCTGTAAAAATTCCTTGGTCAGAAGCAATACTGTGTGTAGTAACATGACAATAGATGAGGCATTCTGTGAGTCCATGGATTATAGTTTTGGCAGAAACATTGTGTGCAGGGAAGGTGTATATTCCAGGAAGGACAAAACGCTGCCCCTTCCATGATGAACATATTCCAATGTAATCAACCTGCTGCCAGATAGCTGGCTGATTATCCTGGGAAATACTGCCATACTGGGGACTCTGTGTTTGTCTCTGCTGCTAGCAGATTGGGCACTCGGCAGTGGCCATAACCAGGTCAGCCTTGTTGAATGGAACTCCATGAACCCATCAGGCAGTGACATAGGTGGCTGAGTAAAGAAGATGACTAATATCCACAGAATGTGTCATGATATCTACATTTTTTTGAGATGGAGTCCCTCTGTCAGGAAGCTGGAGTGCAGTGGCACAATCTTGGCTCACTGCAACCTCTGCCTCCTGGGTTCAAGCTATTCTTGTGCCTCAGCCTCCTAAGTAGCTGGAACTACAGATGCGCATCACCACAACTGGTTAATGTTTGTACTTTTAGTAGAGACAGGGTTTCACCAGGTTGGCCAGTCTGGTCTTGAACTCCTGACCTGAGGTGATCCTCTCACCTTGGCCTCCCAAAGTGCTGGGATTACAGGCGTGAGCCACTGCACCCATCATATTTACTTGATTATTAAAATCCTTATCTTCTGAGGTCACCCTTTGGGACATAAACATCTTCACATCCTTTGCCCATTCAGAGAGGTCTGTCCACATACCTCTTCCCCAACTTTCTTCATTACCTATTTTCTAATCATGTTCCTTCCAAGTCCCTATCTGGACAAAGCACTTTGTACAGTCCATAATTTGGTCTATAATTGCACACCTGGCCATTTCTCCTTCCAAGCAAAATCCACAACCAGGTGCACCTGGAAATGGATACTGGCAATGGGTGCACAATATTGTGATTATTTACACTTAAAAATGATTATAATTGTAAATATTGTATGCTATATATTGTACAACAGTAAAAAGGCTACATCACTGACAACACATTGTTGTATTAGCAAAGAAAGGGGAATCTCCAGCCTACTCATCAAAAAACCCAACTTTTATTTTAAAATAATGAGCTGAAATCATAGCAGAGAGAGGTGAAAAATGAGCAAATATTAAAAGGAAGACCTTTCCTCGAAAGAATGCCCATTTTAATGTTGTTTCTGGGAGACTAAGCCTTGAGCAAAATGCAAGGAGAACTCAGTGTGAGACTTCTGCACTGTCATGAATCTCAGAAGGAAGCTAAAGAAGTTGCAGGTAAATATTATCCTCTGGCACCTGGAAGAACCATTCTCAACTTACTCTAGGAAAGAAAAACACCTCCAGTTTAGGCCTCCAGGATTTCTGCATATTAAAATTATAAGATCACAGACATAGATCACCAAACATGCAAGACAAGACAACTTGAGTACAAGTGAACAGAAACAATCAATGCAGATTTAGAATTTGAAGAACACCAGATATTGGCATTATCAGATACATAATATAAAATAATTATGTAGAAAATCTTTAAAGCAATAACATAGGGAAACATGAAAATAAAAGACAAATTATCCAAACTTATTTGGCAGTTGAAAAAAACCATTGCAGTTTACAAAATCAACATGCAAAAATCAGTTGTATTTTTACACACTAACAATGAAAAATATGAAAAAGAAAACAGAAAAGTCTGTTTACAATAGTATCAAAGATAAAACAACATTTAGGAATAAATTTAACCAAGGAGGTACAAGTCTTGTCCACTAAAAACTAAAAATCCCTCCTGAAATACCACAGGGGGATAAAGAAATAAAAAAGAAAACTAAAAAACCCAGTTGAAAGAAATTAAAGAACTATCTGGTCTGAAGAAAGCAAATACAGAAAATTAACAAATAGAAAAACAAATAAAAAGAAAGAACTAAATAAATGAAAAGGCATGCTAGACTTATAGATTTGAAGACATAATGTCATAATGTTGTTAAGATGAGAATACTATCCCAAACCATTTGCAGATTCAAAGCATTCTCTTTTTTTATTTTGAGATGGAGTCTCACTCTGTTGCCCAGGCTGGAGTACAGTGGTACAATCCTTGCTCACCACAACCTCTGCTTCCTGGGCTCAAGCGATTCTGTGGCCTCAAAGCATTCTCTATCAGAATCCCAAAGACATTTTCTTGGAGGAATGGAAAAATCTATCCTAAAATTCAGTTGGAATTTCAAGGAACTCTGAATAGCCAAAACAATATTGAAAAAGAACAACACTGGAGGAGTCATACTTCCCAATTTCAGAACTTACTACAAAACTACAAGAATCAAAACAGTGCAGTACTTACATAAATATAGACACATAGAACAATAGAATAGAATTGAGAGTCCAGAAATAAGCCTATACATCTACAGTGAATTGATTTTCAATAAAAGTGCCAAGACCATTTTATGGGAAAAGAATACTCACTTCAACATATGGTGCTGGGATAGTTGGATATCCACATGCAAAAGAATGAAGTTAGATTCTTACCATTTACAAAATTTAACTCAAGGCTGGGTGTGGTGGCTCACATCTGTAATCCCAGCACTTTGGGAGGCTGAGGCTGGTGGATCAATTGAGCTCAGGAGTTTGAGACCAGCCTGGGCAACATGGTGACATCCTATCTCTACAAAACAAGAAAAAAAAATTAGCTGGCATGATGGTACACACCTGTAGTCACAGCTACTAGGAAGGCTGGGGTAGGACAATTGCTTGAGCACAGGAGGTGGAGGCTGCAGTGAGCCGTGATCACACCACTGCACTCCAGCCTGGGTATCTGAGCAAGACCCTGTCTATAAAAAAGTATTCAAGTAAAAATGTCTCAAATAACTAAATATAAAAGCTAAAACTATAAAACTCTAAGAAAAAACAAAGGGGCAGATTGTTATGTTATTGAATTTGGCAATGGTTTCTCAGATGTGACATCACAATCAACAACTATATAAATATATACATAGTAGACTTCTTTAAAGTTAAAAACTTTTGTACATCAAAGAACACTATCAAGAAAGTAAAAAGATGATATGCAGTATAGGAGAAAAAAGTGCGAATCATATCTCTAGTAAAGGGTCTAGTATCCAGAGTATAAAAAGAACTCTTACAACTCAACAACAGAAAGACAACCAAATTTTAAAATGGGTAAATGACTTCAATGCGAACTTCTCCAAAGAAGATATACAAGTGGCCAAGAAACTTATGAAAAGATACTCAATATCAATAGTTATTAGGGAAATGCAAATCAAAACCACAATG